ATCTTGCTGCTTTATCAGCAGGTCCTCTTCCAGATTTCCTTTGCTTTGCTTTGTTTCAGATTTGCTTTGCTTCTTCTTGCTGACTTGTCAGGATCTTTCCAGCAGTGCTCTGTATTTATCACAGAAGCCTCATCAGCAAGCATTGCCAGTTTTTTGCCTTGTCTTTAAAGAAACGTGCCTTAATACAAAAAGAACTAAAGAAAGCTGCAAACTATCAGTAGCAGGTAGGTAAACATCAGCCATATACTTTTGTCACTTTGTGTATATTAGCAACCATAATTCCTAGTAGAAACTGTTATGGGTTGAAAGGTTCGAGGTGGTAGCTGTTTTGCAATATAAGTTGTTTTATTCTGATTTTCAGCAGCAGCAAAGCTCATTCTGAAGTTAACTTTATAATTAAAACATACTCTAAAAATAAGGAAAATACATTTCCATTCTTTAAATAAATGATGCTCTGCAACCTATAATCAAATGCTTAACAGGAGGGAAGGAAATCATTATGCATTTAGAACTAAGGGTTTACATGTGTTTGCTCCATAATCTCTTTGCTTTTGCTCCCTACACAAAGTATTTTCTCCAATGCAGATTCATTAAACAAAGTAGTCCTTTATTCTTTGGTAGTTGCTGCTAAGACTCAGAACAGGCAGCAGTGCTGTTTGCATAGCACCCGAGAGCTTTTTTTTTTTTTTTCAAATAAAAAATTCAATGCATTTTTTAATGGGGAATAAATCTTTACATTCAAGCGAAGTTGTGTTCTACAACTTCCACTAGCAAGAACACATTCTGAATCTCCCATTTAGCAGTAAGTATCGAATTCTTATGTATAGACTTCTGTATTAGTTTATGTTTAAAACATTCTAGCAATAAATCACATTTTAACGTACTTTGAATTTAGTTTGCTTCTGATAGCTATTGGTAGAAGTTACCATTGCTATTGTTTTGGAATCTTACTTATGTTAATCTGAGGTTGAAGCTTACAAATTGAAGTAATGACAAATGCCAGTAACAAACTGATGAGGTAGACAGTACCATTCAGGGATGGCTCCATTTCCCATCTCAGCTGCTGAGTAAACACTTGCACCTGCTTTGGATTCAAGAGCTGGTAGCCTGCTGGTTCCACAGGAATACATAATTAGTAAGATGATTCCTGTGGAAATGTGACTTTCCAAAACTTTAGAGATGCTGCAGGTTGTAAGTGACATAGAATGTTACCATGCTAAACTGAGTTTTTGGAGAATACAAGAGGGTAGGATAGGCTTACATGCTCATTTAAGTTTTAGAATGAGTTGTTTCTATTGTACAACCTTCCCAAATATCCATACGGGCTGAGGATTACAGGAGTTATATCTAGAGGCTGTCAAGTTGAGAAAGGCTATCATTTACTCAGTAAAGGAGACAATAGCTAGTCCCTTCCCCAGCTAATGTCTCCTTTACTGAGAAAATGAATACAGTTGAATAATTTCTCTAAGTTATCAGGAGAAACTGAAACTTACTCTCACTGTGGAACATGTAGTAATGCCATAAATCAACGATTCCTTGAACAGCTGGATACATACTTCTTAAAGCCTACAGCATGTTGAAGGAAGAGGAGAGAAGCGCAGGTATAGGAAGCAAAAAGGGTTGGAGCGCTAAAGGTACATGGGAAAACAGGGCACAACCGAGGAAATAGTTGGCCTGAACTGCTCAGGTGCTACTTGTGGTTGGTGCAAAAGATAGCAGATATTGAACCGGGTATACTTAGACCATAAAACTTGAGACGGCAGGCTGGGAACATGGGGAATTGAGCAAGATGAATTCTGAAAAGTATGCTTTTTTATTTAAAAAAGCATCATCCAAGCAAAAGGGTGGTGCCAGAAATACAATAAATACCAGCATACTGTAGCTTGAGAACACAATTAAATATCATCCATCGTCAATGTACAGAAGCCTCCAAACATGGAGGCTTATGTGCATCTAGAAGAGAAATAATAATAATAATAATAATAATTATTATTATTATTATTATTATTATTATTATTAGAACATTTCTATGCCACCCCTTGCCGAAGCCTCAGGGAGGCTTACAACACAATAAAATACAATACAATACAAAAATAACCATATAAAATTAAAATTAATTATATAAAATAAATAAAAAATATAAACGATATAAAAGGAGTTAGAAAAGTTATAAAAGAAAAGAAAAGAAGTCGCCCTGGCCAGATAAATAAGTAAATATTGTTAACAATTAAAATGACGTTTAAATAAAAAGGTCTTCACCTGGTGCCGAAAAACAAATAACAACGGCGCCAGGCGGACCTCTCTGGGGAGCATATTCCATAGATTGGGCGCCACCGCAGAGAAAGCCTTCCTCCGAGTACCTACCCTCCTAATTTCTTTCACGGAGGGTTCCCGGAGAAGGGCCTCAATTTCCACCTCCTTGCACCTTGGGCCCAAATTCCATCTAGGCGACCATTCTTAGCCATCTAGATATAGCATCACAGAGGGGATTGAAGGAGGCTTGGGCACTACTTGGATAGAATGTAAACTCTGACCTTAACCACACTCTTTTAGTCTTTGATTTCCAACCTCAGAGATGCAGTTGGTCCAGTTCTTTCTTGCTGACTATGAGAAAAGTGGGTGAAGGTTCCAAATTTGAAGTCCCTGCTCTGTAGCCTAATGTTCTTGGAGCCAGGACTGCAAATGATCCAATGGGCCTTCCAGATAACGTCTTCCTGCCAATAACTAAGGCATTTCAACTTTTCAAAGCTGGGAAACAAATGCACAAATACCTGGAAACTACTGAAAGATTTGTGGCGAAAGGAAAATGCTTCAGGTCACCTGAGAAACACTGGAGAGCAAATCAGTCTGTCAGGCATGAGGTTTCCCACTCATGTCTTACAAAACTGTAGGCAAAGGGATCTGAAAGTAAGTAACCTATTGAAATTTCTTCTAAAGAACAGAGAACATTCATTATCTACTGTGTAGATGAAATATAGATATTGCAAAATCCTGCATATGCTTACATCAGCATAAGTGTTCAATGAGACTAACTCCCAGGTATTTAGGATTACAGTCTAAATTATTATGCAAATCCTGCTTTCTTCCTCCTTAATTTTGAAGTTTTAGAATGAGTGTTACAACTGGAATTGTACAGATACCAAATGCCAGATGGAAGTATTGTTGCTGAAACACAAGTAATTTGTGCATGCAATATATTTGGTTTTTAAAACCTACTCTCCCCAAAGATCTAGCTAATCAGGTTAAAAAAGGCTGTCTCAGCAGAGGAATGTTTTCTTCATTTGTACATGCTGACAGCAAGTATTGGATTCTAAGTCTTATTATACACATAAGAAATGTATAAGTAGAAGAAAGCATTAATTACTGGTTTGCAAACTCTGTGTTCAGACTTGTTTTTCAATTGCATGCTTCTGCTCTCAAGAGATGTTAGCTCATCTATTCAGATCTGTACTTAAGCCTCTTCAAGTCGAATACATCTACTTGTTATAATCTAATTCAAACACTTTGAAAAATCCAAAATATAAATCAAACAATGCTGTGACTTTTACTATACATATTAGTTCTAAGACATGCAATGAGTTAGGCCACCAGTCTGTCAAGCCCAGGATCATCTATTCTGGCCAGGAGCAGCCTCCTGTGCTCTACCACAGAACATGAACAATTCAAGAGGTAGTGATCCCAGGGTCACCTTACAATCATGTCAGCTGCTGGACAGAGCCTATATGTGACACCAATCCCTGCTCATGAGGCCGTGTACACAATCAAAATCCTATAGGCATCCTAGGCCAGAGATGGCGAACCTTTTAGAGACCAAGTGCCCAAACTGCAACCCAAAATCCACTTATTTATCGCAAAGTGCCAACACTGCAATAAAAACTGAATTCTGAGGTTTCAGTTTAGAAAAAACAACTCATACATTAACATCTTTTGTCTTAAAAGAAAAACACAATAACATAGCTTTCAATAATACAAACATATATATGTCCTTGGCAGCGCATGAACCGGCCATGCAAAAGCTCGGACAAGTCGTGGCTAATGAGTCACGGCTCGTGACGTCATCGCCAGGCACCGCTACTCCTTTCTGAGCATGTGCATGGCCCCTGTGTGCACTGTTATCCGATGCTAGGCTGCTGGGGCGATGCTGGGGAGACTTGGCTCACGTGCCGACAGAGAGGGCTCTGTGTGCCCACTACAGCACATGTGCCATAGGTACGCCACCACTGTCCTAGGCCTTTCCACTTAGTCCTCCAAATGATGCAGGGGCAAAGCGCCAACAAAATAAATGGGGTTACACTGGTATAGAAATGACAGACCTGTAATTTTGAGCACACAAAATGATTCTACACAAGGAAAGTTATTAGAATTATTTAAAAGTTATGAATACCAATAGGTTCCTGCAAGTTTATGGCCTGCAGAGTAGCCAGTTTAATTAGATAATGCAATTTGAGCAAATACAGGCAAGTCAGAATAGAACATTTTAAGATTAACATTATAAAACTAATCATTTTTCTTTATAACTATTTAATGGCCATAGCAAAGGTTTCAGGTTAAAATGCCAGGCCTTTGTCAAATACTGAAAACACAGAGCTGACTAGGAGTTTAAGGAATTCAACATTTTCATACAAGTACCCAACATCTTTTAGACCCAGTGACAGTTCAGCACATGTAACGCTAATTGATTTCAATTGTATAGAGCAGAGATTTTCAACCACCAGTCCGCAGACTGTTGCTGGTCGATGGGGGCACTGGCTGTGCTCCACCACCTCTTCCTTGGTTGGCATCACATTTGCGGGTGGTGTGCCAGCCCCACTGTGGGGAAGGGGAGGGGAGGGCAGGGGGAAAGAAGACAGCTCAGTGGGAGCCAACTGGGAGCCACAAGGACCAATTTTGGTATTTTGTTCTTTTTTGACATTTTTTGTTGCTCGGTTTCTGGCTGTTTTGGAGATTTTTTAAAATTGTGTTTGGAAACTAATATACAGAATACTGTATTATATGTAGGGTGCTTTTTGTTTCTGCATCAGCAGTCCCTGAGGTGGTTTTCCTGTTTTTGCCGGTCCCCAGCTGTGGAAAGGTTAAAAACCACTGATATAGAGTATGTGCTTGACTATTCAAACTCAATACCTAAATGTTAACTTTAGGTGGATTTTGCTTTCAGTCTTCAGTAACTGTTTTATTTGCTCTCAGTGATGATACTATATCAGAGGTGATTACCATGAATCAAGGAACGGGGATACGTTCAATTCTAGTCCTTAGGAAATTTTAGTTCAAATCCTGAATGGCCAACACAGAACCTTAACTCTGTTCTTCAGAAAATAATACTAAAGCAACAGAAATCTTTGTAAAACACAAAGAACTTACTGAACTACCATTTTAAAAATTGCAATTGGGAAAAATTACATTGAACTCAACTAAAATGTAATATTTCCTATGGAAACTATTTTCATTTAACTATTGTTATTGTTTTGACTTTGAGAGACTATTAATAGGACTAGAACTAGGTAGTTTTCTTTTTGCTAACTTGTGTCACAGAAGTTATTCCAAGTTGGTCAATGATGGTACAAATTGCTCAACTTTGCATTTGCTTACTTTTTGGGGATTTGCATTATCTTACCATTATGCTTTAATGCTGCATTTGAGCTGCTTGCTACTGTGGATTATCAATGGGTAGCTCCTTGTGCTTAGCTGCTCACATATACTATTCATTTATAATCATTTGTGTTCCAAGTGGCCTGTGTACAGCTGCTCAGGCCTTTTGTAGGCTTCTCATCAGCTGCAGGGTCACGTTCAGTCATTCATTCAGATAGCTGCGATTTTGAATGCAAGCTCCCTTGTTTGCTCACTTCTCTTTCCTCTGCCCCTGCTGTTCTCCCCCTCCCGCTCCTCTGTCACAGACAGACAGCTACAGCTTGGCTGGGAAGCTATCAGACAGTTACACACGTTTACAACAACAGAAGAGAAACAGGCAGACAAAAGGTGACAGCAGATCTCATCATGGCATCAGCAGCTCTTCAGTTCTTTGCTTTCCTTCTAGCTTTGTTTGGTGTTTTTGGAGCAATCATAGCTACCTTGCTGCCAAACTGGAAGGTGAATGCAGATGTGGGTTCAAACATCATCACGGCTATAACCCAAATGCAAGGGCTCTGGATGGACTGCACATGGTACAGCACCGGGATGTTTAGCTGCACACTGAAATATTCAATCCTCTCCCTCCCAGTTCATATTCAGGCAGCACGGACCACCATGGTTTTGTCGTGCATTCTCTCCACTTTTGGGATCTGCATTGCCACTGTGGGAATGAAGTGCACCCGCTTAGGAGGAGACAGGGACAGCAAAAGCCACACATCCTTTGCAGGTGGAGTCTTCTTCATGCTTGCAGGAATATTTGGGTTGATACCGACAGCCTGGTACACAAGAGAAATCATTTCAAATTTTCTGGATCCCACAGTCCCAGAAAGCAGTAAGCATGAACCAGGAGGAGCAGTTTACATCGGATTTATTTCAGCAGGACTTCTGCTTACTGCAGGTGCCATCTTCGGCACTTCCTGTTTGAAAAAACAGCAGAGAGCCTGGATTCACCCCAACAAACCGCCGCAACCATTTCCAGCGACCCAGCAAGAGAACACAGGCTACAATCTAAAAGATTATGTGTAACTATATTTGTGTCTAGGATCCTGATTGACTAGGGGTGGCTCTGTTTAATGTAGTTTTGTTTTTAAGTAAGTTTTATGTCTGTGATGTGAGACTTGTAATTATATTTTGACAAAGCAAAATGTACGATAAAGAGTTTTAGATCACTGCAACAACAATTTATTTATTGTTGATATGGCTTTGCAATGCAATTTTATTAGGAAAGAACAAAATTAAAATTATAAATGTTTTTACAAATACAAGCTCTCTTTTACGTGGTGCAATGGGCCATATTTAATTTCACCAAGAATCTTGTTTTCATTTTCTCACTAGCTAAACCTGTTCTGCTCTATTTGAAATCTTATGTATTAAAACAGAAGCAACTTCTGTCTTTTATTGTCAGTTCCCAACTACCATGGTTACTATATTTCTTCACTTTAAAGACAAATTAATATCAAAGGAAGAAGAGAGAGTGACATTTAATTGTTGCCAAACCCTAACCCCATGACCACCTGTAGCAGGTTCTATTATTACTTGCAAAGAAACATCTACTTAACAATCTGCTGCTGATTTAAGGATTAAATAAATCAGGATTAATAAAGACACACACAAATAACTACACCTTTGTAACTAAAGGAAACTTTTAACACTCTGATTTCAAGTTGAACTTTTAAATATTTTTTGTCCTCTGCTTGACTTCTCTTTGATACCAGTAACTAATTGGTGCTTTAACACCATTAACTGGAACATCATATGGCTCCTTTAAAACCTATACTTTATGCAAACAATTTGTAACACATTCTTGGATCAGGCCCCAGAATTACTGGCAGTATGCCACACAGAGCTCTTGTAGGTGATAGCAACTCAGTTTGTAATTACTATGCCAGCATGGTTCACTTGGTTAAATCGCCTTGCATCTCAGAACCTTCTTTTTAACATGCTGAAATGATTATTAGTTACCCTAGAAACCTCTCATTTCCATTCAGGAGGTGAGTTAGAGTTTGCATCTCTTGGTGTTACAGGGGAGGAGAAATACAAAGAGGAAAGCTTTGACCAATAATTTGGAACCCAATCATAGTTAAACATACAGTTGCATACGCACAGATTTTTCTAGTGCCAGTAATATGAAATGTTATTTTATTGAATGATAAATGCCTTTTGTCAAAAATGCACAAAATTAGTAGGTTCATATTCATTATGGCATTCTCCATAAATGGGAGACTGGGCAGAAAAAAAGTGACCAAAATGATCAGAGGCTGCAGCAACTTCCTGACAGGGAAAAGTTTAGGAATTTTTAGTTTAGAGAGGAAAAGGGAAAATAAGAATAGAAAAAACAGGTTTGCAAAATAAAGAATGGTATAGAGAAAAAACACTAGAACCAGTGTTGAACTAGTTCAACTGATTGAGGCTTCGGCGAATGGGGCGGCATAAAAATGTTTTAATAAATAATAAATAAATAAATTGGTGGGAGATTTGAGACAGAACAAGGTATCTTCTTCACTGAGTACAGGATAAATATGTAATTTGGTGCCAGAAGATGTGGTGATAACCACCAAATGAGGTGAATGTAAAAGGTAAAAGGGTATTCATGGCTACTTGTCTTGATACCAGCTTCTGTAAACAACCTTAGGAAGAGGTGCTCTTATATCCCGTCCATGGGTTTCATGGAGGAGTCTGAGTGGCCGTCGTAGGAAATAGCACACTGGACTAGGCAGGTCCTTGGTCTATCCAACAGGACTCTTATACTCTTAAGCAAACAGGAAGCTGGTTTTATAAATCAAGGAGTCTGCTTTTTATGCATTGTATTTATGAGAAGAAATCTAAAAGAAAAAGCTCAAATGCAGCACTTTATTCTTCAGCATAGCTATATTAGTCTATAAATAACAATGTGGTTGTTTTCTCCCCACCCCCCACCTTCATCTTTTTTTAGGATGAGAAAATAAGTGTTGTGTTATCATCATCCCAACTATCTGCCTGCACAATACTGAGATATACTCAAAGCAAATCTTAACCATCTCAACAGAAAAAGGAGAAGGAAACAAGCAAAGCGAAAATATATGTCACAAAGCAGAAAGAAGATCCATGGATGCATTCCAAAAATGCTTGATATTTTAGTATGGTTATGGCATAAGAGGAGATCTTCTACATTGCAAATCACTGCAATTGTCCAGACCACAATGACTCCTCAACAGGGACAGCCAGGAGCAAATGAAGCACCCTGCAGTAAGCAGCCCAGACTTGATTGACCTGGTTTGCATGTAATGACAGCCTATCAATTCAACAGCTCATGGGTCGTCACACATAAGCAGGACAACTGGGTACAACATGGCCACTATGTTCAGCTGTGCTGTACAACACACAATCAACTCCTTTACAGATTGTGGAGCATGACCCTGAATCTGGTTTCCTGGATTGTTTGGGGCCTAAAAAAACTGGGAATTAACCCATTGTTTGTTGAGCACCCACTCATGCACAAGAAACCGCTGGGAGTTTAACTGACAGGCTGACTTTATATGAGAATGGTCCCAGTAGTTCATCATGCAGCTTCAAGTTTCAAAGTGCTTTTCCAATGGAGCTTTAATTATTTCAGTGGTTTTAGGCTAGAATAAATTGTAGCACTTTTATCAACATAATGAATATAAGCATCATCTTCTTCTATGCATATCATCATTGTCTTGGGATACATGCTAGATAATCTCAAATGTCAAGGAATTACATTGTGGGGGCAGGGGGATGGAGACCTAGAACCAGTCTCTTACAAAAAATATGTGCTAACAGCTTTTCTAAGCATTTGGTGCATTGGGAATCTTATTTGTGAAAATGTTTCAGGAAAAAAAAAAGAGCTTGAGATGATGGAGACTGAGATGGCTGGAAGGGGGGAGGAGGAAGGGGAGGGGAGAGAGAGAAAGGGAGGGAAAGAAGGATTTGAAGAATGTAAAGGTGTTACCTGAGGCCAAGCACTTGATATAACTATTTCAAAAACTGTAAGCAAGTTTGCATTACGGCAGGATCATATAAGCTAAACTTTTACCACACTCGGTTAAAAAGAGTACAACTATACTGACAGAGTACAGTGCTAGAAAAACATTAAGCAATGTTGCCAGCAATGCCATGTCATACAAAAGAAATACTGCAGAGAGACAGAGAAGGAGAGCAGTCATTAACCATGGTGAGCACTCTCCCTACAGGCATGTATTGCTTTGCAATGTTCAGACAAAAGGACATACCGAGTTTAAAAAAAAAAAAAAAGGTCATAAAGGACCATCACAAATCGAGCAGGCAGCACCACATATTCATACAAAGGAATTTAGCACAGCTCTCCATTACTGCTATTGTAGTAAACTCCAAGACAAAACAGATCTGTAAGATCTTGTTGCTGGCACGAGTGAATTCTGTCATAACGTAATGGAAGCACGTGGCTCAATAAGGCAAAGCAACAAAGCACAGACTGGTTCATTCCCTCTTATTCTCTTTTTCTCCATAGGCAAAAATGTAGGGCAGTACCACCATCACCAAACACCTGAAATCCAGAATCTCACACCAGAACCTGGTTTACCCATGAGTTGTTGAATTCTGGATTATTACAATGCAACATATCCAACTGATTTAACAAACCATGGTCTGTTAAGTACAAATAACCCAAAAATAGAACCCATGGCTGTTACTTGTTTGTGAACTATGAGCAGTTTAAACCATGGACTGTCATTATGCAGAAACCCAGCACTGTGAGTTGCTCTTGGGTTGTTTCTCCAGGCTACAGAAGCAGCAAGCAAGAATGGCAAAAAGCTCAAACTTCTCTAAACACCAAGAGAATAGCACCATGTGGGCATTTGGGACAGAGGGAGAAAACAAAAAGGAGGGAATCAAACCACAGACTGAAAAACAAACCATGATTTATCTGATCACCTACCAGTCAAACACTGCACAGGGCAATAAACCATAAGTAGCAATATGTACAAACTAAGTCTCACACAAAAGACATTCTAGTATTTTCTGCTAAAAGATTATAAAGATTGCAAACAGTTCCCAGAATCCCTAACACTTCTTTTCAATGCTTACACGTGGCTCTATAATTAATCCATGAACACTGAGAATGGACAGTGTACAATATTTATATTGAAAATAATTTTCATGTAATGAGCGTCATTCTAACTAGGACAAATTCTTTAACATCAGCTAATGAGATATTGCTTAACTACTGGCCCCATGCAATCAAACCTGGTTCAAAATTCCAATATTTAGGCTGAAACTAAAGCCCCACACTAAAATCAACCACTGAGCAGGGTTCCAAGCTTCGGAACAGTCCACCCCAACACCATTTGTCACACTGGCCTTCTTTTAAGCAACAATATCTAGTGTGTTGTGCTATTGGTGCTCTGCAATGCTCTCAAAATTTCTATATTGCCACAAATTAAATAAATACCAGGTTCTACTTTATGTTAGTGAGCATATGAAAAATGAAACATATACTAGACTGAAACCCTAACATGAACTCCTGATTCAGAATTACTTTGGCAGAAGTAAATGGCAAAAATATTGAAAAATAGCAAAAGGTCCCCATTCTGATAATGACATGCTGTTTAGTCTGCACTATTTAGAAAACATTTAATTATCTCATTCTCATTCCAAATCTGCCTCAATGGAATTTGTTTGGCTCCAGTGCTAATGCTCAAAACAGATTTTCCAGAAAACATCTGACTAGCAGTTGAACTGAAAATGACCAGGCCAATTCATATTCACAACAATTTGACAGGATCATTTATACTTTGCTAGTGCCAAGTATGATCTTCAAATCTGCATTCCTAGTTTAGTATTTATCACTGCTCTAAATCATTACCTAGCAGGGTATAACTGGCCACCAATCCACTGGCAAAAGCAGCTTTTCAGCTTATATTTTTTCTCCAAAAGTTATCTGAATGTTATATTAGGAACAAACCTTATGGAGTTAGCTATAAATCGTGAGATGAAATACACTGTCTCAGATCAATACTAATGCCTAGAGGACCAGGAGTTCCACATAATTCATCTTATTCTGAGCAATTTCCTCATTCAGTAGGAAACAAGGAACAAGGCAGGCTATGTTAAAATTGGGGGCCTATTAACTGCATTGGGTAGCAAGAGGTATCACATGCAAAGCCACAGTTCAAAGTAGCCAATTTAAAGAATGTCTCAAAATGAAAGGCAGGAGGAATGGAAAGAAAGTTACACACATCATCATTCAGCCTTTAATTCACAAAAATCACATGCATGCAAATTCCATTTGCAGTCAAATCTTGTAATTAAAAATTTCAGCAACAATAATTCTAAAGTATGGAATGGTGGTTAATTTTATCTACCCGTCCTCTTTTATTTGACAATGGCAGCTGGGAGTTGCAGTCCAACTTATGGGAGTTGTTGTCCTATGGTTCAGGATTGGTTCAGGAAAGCTCATGGAATATTTTCTTAAAACAACAAGCAACAGCACTGTCTTTTACCTGATGAATTTCTGACCATTTCATTGATTGGGTGCCATGGATGACTGAGAATATGTCTCAAATGAAACAAAAACAAACCAGTAACACATACTATTACCACAAACAACTCAAAGCTCCAGATTGTGAAAATCTGACAAATTGCACATAATGGGCTCTGAGAATTCTCAACCTTTCTCTTTTGCAGGGAAAAGATATAAATCATGATATCCTTTTCTCCCTTTAAACCTGTCAACTACTAAGTAACTGTCAATTTAAAAGACCTGAAAGTGAAGGACAGCCAAAAACAAAACTTGCTCCAAGAACAGCCACTGTAAAACTAACCACTGTCCTATTGGGATCAAACTCTTACAGTTATTTGACTCTGAAAATGATGAAGCTAGATTTGCAAGGGATAAGAACAAAAGAACCCAAAACTACATCATGGTCCTTCCTGTGCCCAGATTCTCTTACGAATGTATAAGCATCCCTAGGATCATTTTGCTTGGATTGACAATCCCATATTTGGGACAGGCAAGTGAAATATTCATCTGTTAACTGTGTGCATGTACGTCAACAAAAGAGTTAATGCATTTGAATTATGAAATAGGCCCTTCCCTATGTAACATGAAAGAAAAATGCCCTGAGTACTTACAAGGTTTAACCAACAGACAACACCAAATAGAATAACACTTCTCTGGTATATAGGGATTTTTGTATTTACTTATTTCATTCATACTGAATTACTTTATTACCTTAAGTATTTAAGGAAAGAGAACAACACATTATTGCGTCTACTGTACCTGAAGCAATGTCTGACTTATTCTAATCCTTCACTGTGATTACTAATAAGGAGAATCCTGGGTTATTAGGAGCTACTTTAGCTGAATAGTTTCTTGTTCTATTAATTTTCTGTGTAAAAATCCTATATTATACAGCTTTATCTTTCTCTTTTTAGCTGTAAGGCTTTATTTGCAGTCCAATATTTGAGGTACATCAACAACACATTTCATTTTTTTCAGAATTAACTGAAGGAAAAGTTATACAATTGTGTGCATTCTTAGTTTTCATTCATTCTGACTATCGCAGGGAATATTAAATTCAGCACCTACCAGAATCTGATTGCATTCAATTTGTTTTTTGGTGTTGGGGTCTCTATAAATAACTGGATGAAGCTTCAGTCTCTGATTCTCAATAATAAAAGAACAGACTTACCTCTGGCTTTGGAACAAAAGCCTGACCGCGTATTGTGAAACCCTTATGAACAGTGCACAGGTACTGAGACATAATGGAAAGTCTGCTTCGCTGCTTGGATCCTGCACAAGCTGTCAATCTCTGTGAAAGAAAGTGGCTTTTATAAGTGAATCACCCAAGCTAATCAAGTGTTTTTATAAAATTAGCAGGTGATATTTAAAATTTAATAGAACACAAGAGCATTTTTGAGCATCCCTTTAACCTGTAAAATTATAACATGCGTTTCTAAAGGTGTCCATTAAGACTTGTTTGAGAAACTTATGAGTCATACCTGTTGAGAGCATCATTAAGGGTTTTACTATTGCTAACAGGCCTCCTATGGAGAACAAAGATGAGCCCAACAAACTGCATCACAGATAAAAATGAACAAACCAGATGTACAATGAAAAAATATTAAATAAATTTAATTGTTTTTCTTTCCTAGCAAGAATGCTACTCCATTGATATTTCATGTTCAGGCTTCCTATACTTTAAGTATATGAAAGAAAGTACAGGCTCATCACCATCACATTCCTACTCTCAATGAAATCTTAAATATCAACACAAAATCTATGGTGTGATCATACTTAGTATACTGCATTCTAGTAACTTAATTGGACTTAGTTGGAAAGTGAATAAAAGAGAAACTGAAATGAAGGGACTGGAACAACTCCCCTATGAGAAAAGATTACAACAGCTAGGATTGGTTAGCTTACAGAAAAAGTCAAATAATGGAAAATATAATAAGGGTATACAAAATTATACAGTGTAAAAGAAAGTGGATAGGGAGACATTTTTCTCCCTCCTTTGTAACAGCTGAACCTGGAGTCATCCCAGGAAGCTGAATGACAGAAAATTCAGCACAGATAAAAAGAAATACTTCTTCATACAGCACATAATGTAGCTATGGAATTCACTTCCATGTGATGTAGTGATGCTCACCAATCTGGATGACTTTAAAAGGGGATGAGCCAAAGTCACAGAGATAAGGCTATAAATGGCTACTAGCTCTGATAGCTGTGTGTTATTTCCAGTATATTTATGTATGCCTGGAAAATATTGGAGGCAGAGAGCTTTGCACTCATGCTGTTGGTTGTGGGTTTCACATGGACAGTTAGTTGGCCATTGTGTGAAAAGAATTATAGACTAGATGGACCCTTGGTCTAATACAGCATGACTTTTTATATACATGTAGATTATCCTGCATTTAAAATATTTTACCCACCTTTCATTTCAAAAGTGCAAGGCTTTTAGAGCAAGAATACCATAAATTATGAAAATACAGGAAAATTAAACAACCCCCACAGCAATAAAACAATAACTGAAAAGTGTACCCAACCAGGAACAATAAAATGTAGTAAAAGAAAGTCAAAGGCCAATAAAGCAAATCAGCAAATGCCAATGAGGGGGTAAATCAGATATACCCAGAAGTGAATTCCAAAGCCTGTGAATGGCAAAAGAAAAGGTCCTCTCTCTACACCCATTAAACTTGAATTCAGGACAAACATGAGGACTTCTGTAGAAGTTAAGGTGAAGGCAGTCTCATACAGAAGACAAGAAATTCAGAAGCACTGGTCCATAAGCAAGCAGAAGTGTAAAGCTCAACTCCAACATTCTGATATAAGCAGCTAGTGATGTTTCAGCAGAATAACCTGCTTCCAACATCTGGATCCAGTTGGCATACTGACTGACACATGTTATACAAGACATTTTCCAAAGACAGCAAAGACACACACAGAGAGAATACATATTAGTAGTTCTGTTGCAATATAACTAGTTCATGTGCTACAAAAAAACAAACCTGGCTTGAGCCCATCGTACAAATAAATGAAAACACTGTTGGACTAGAACTGGGGAGACCCAAGTCCTTATGTCGGCTCAGCCACCAAACACAAAAAGTTATACTGGGTTCCTCTTATCTCACAGCTTAATCTACTGCATGGATATTTTGCAGGGTTAAAGAAAAGAGGAATCACACACATCAGCCTGAATCAGAATAAAGACTAATAAAATTAACAAAATAAAAAGACTGAAAGCAGCTCATTCTATTACCATCATTCTGTAACTGCTTTTTGTGTAGCTTCAGATCTTATCAGCTTCTACAGAAAACTTTGTCCATGCTATTTTGCATCTCATTTAAGCTATGCTATGTACAGAAACACTATAATCTGCATGTCACATACAAGAAAAAACTTCATAGCATATACAGCTGGTTAAGCTACATAAAGTACAGGGTACATTACTATTCTCAATTTTCTGCATTTCTTCCTAGTTGCAAATGTACTGTTCTCCCTCATTTTCAAGCTGTTACAGCTTTGAAAACCTTATCCATTAGTCATTATAGCAAACAATATTTTGTGTCAGGCACTACATAAACTGAAAACAGATAATAAACAGGGCATGCTTTATCATCCCCAATTGCAGGGTCTGCTGAGGTTGGCTCTGATGCCCTCTATCCCTTCAGGTCAAGGTATATTTGAACATTCAAAATTAACCTTGCACAAATGCACTACAAAAGGTGCAACATAGTAAAAGCCAGGCTCAGGACCAAATATGACTGAAATAGTCTTCTTTGCCCCGACTGTGGAATGCGCTCCCCAGAGAGGACTACCTGGCACCGTCATTATATGTTTTTCGGCGCCAGGTTAAGACCTTTTTATTTAATCAATATTTTAATAAGTTTTAATATCGAATTTTATTATTGTATTTCATTAATTGCAGCCAGAGTAGGTCATCAATTTATTTATGCTGTTAGCCATCCAGAGATGTTAGTAATTGGATGGCATACAAATTTAATAAATAAATAATAAATAAATAGATCTCCAGCATACTAAGTGAGAGAGAACCAGGTACCCAGGAATAGGTTTTGGCAGATGAACTGCTACTGCTTTATGACCAAGAGACTCTTCTGGAATACCCACACTAAGGAGCCTTGGATCAACAGGCCTTTCTGATACCTACTCAGAAATCCATTAGCACAGGAACAGGCTCTGCACTCTTTGTTGAGTATCTTGACCTCCTGCCTTCCCTATTGAGATGAGACTGAAGAGGAATAGATCACCCACTGCCCAGAGATCCAAACCCGTTTGCACAGAACCTTGGGATTAGTAGATGTAGGCATCAGCTGCTACATTTGGGACTGTAAGACCATGGTAGTCTGTAACAGAGAAAATGCTGTGGTTTCTTTGTGGCTACCTGGTAGAGGTATGAGGACAGTGTATGATGTCATCAGGCCATCACTATGCATTCATTGTTTTTCTGCATACAGTTAACATCACTGGTGAGCAAGAACTAGTGAGGGATAACAAGGTAACTGGTATGGCTACCACCTCATTTGCTTTTCTATGAACAGCTATTGTGCTGTTGACTCTGGCACCGGTTAAGCACAGAATCATGATTTATTGACTCCCATTAGCTGTAGCTGAGGGGCCATCTGATATATGGTGGACTGGCTTATAATTTGTTGCACTTCATAACATAATTTACCTCTAGATGCTTGGGAACTCCACTGATACAGATCTTCCAGAAAAAGTGGACCTGGAAAATTTTCCAGTGCCCTAAATAATACTATCTGATTTAGCATGCTTGACTCATCTTCCTTAATAAGCACCCAAAATACATTTAGTAAGCAGAACTAAAAATGTAATCCCTGTCAATGTTAAGTGCAGTATAAATATATGAAAAGTTTTACTAAATGCTACACAGTATTTGAACTAAAATACTTGCATAGGGGAAATTAAATATAGCTTAAATGTTCTATTAAAAACATTCAAAACATTCTGTAGAAATGTTATTAGAATATTGCAAAAAATGTAAATGCAATAGCATGTAGCTCCTTATATTTGTTTATATTTAACAAAAACTGACTACATCTGAAAGAACAAACTGAAAATTGATATATCTTAAACCAATGGATTATTTTTCTTTTGCCAAGGTAACTGTAGCACTTTCAGCTTCATTCACTCTCTGTACTGCTTATCCACTTCAAGTTGAGAAGGATCTCATTCAATACAGCTAGTTGAACATATTCCACTAAATGGACATGGGTCTGTGGGTGCAGTCTGGAGAACATGGTCAGATCAGTGCTGTTCCATTCATGCCCTGCTTCTGGGTATCCATGGAATATTGTTTGGCCCACTGTGTGAACAGAATGCAGATAGAACTGTTCTGTGTTCTGTTAGATTCTGACATATATAGCTAAAATGTGCCCCTTGAATTCTTGTCAGAATATCCATATGAAGCTATTATTAGTTAGGAATTGATTTGTTAGGAATTGATTACAATATTTGTGAATAAAAGTGGCAATAGTTCAACTGATAAATTTTAATCCCAAGAATGGATTCAGTGAACGCTAAGGCCAATGCCTCAAAGTAATACCTTTTTGTATATGCAGAAATTAGTCCAGCATTTAGATTAGCAAAGCGTATTAATAAATTTGGAGAAATTTTCAAATTTCCAAAGGAGTTTCCTTTACATCTGGAAATGACTGAACAGGGGCAGTGAGAGCGGAAAGTGCAGTACACTAAGAAAACTGAAGTTCATCAACAGTTTCTTCATTTGCATTTTATAGCCTCTTCTAATCTAACAATTCACCAGAATATTATTGAATAGATGCATATACTGCTTACCAAATTATTTAAAAAATCTAAGTGGTTTACAAGGAGATTTAAATATATTAAAATACATTATGATACACAGTAAGATACGTAACTGCTAAAATATGTATATAAAACATTGATTAAATTGTTAAAAGTAATATTAACAATACTGAAATGAATAAACAAACTGAACAGCACCTTCACTTGGGAAGGGCTAGGTAAAGAAATATCTGTTTAAAACCTGACTAAAGCACATTACATTTGGTGCCTCCAAAAAACCAGTGAGGAAGGCATTCTATAGGGTGGGAGCTAGCACAAAGAAGGCCCACTTCCATATTCCTGCAAGATAATGAATTGCAGATTGTGGTACAACCAGCATGGTCTCTTCCAAAGATCTTAATTATTGCACAGGTCTAATGAAGGTGATCTGCAAGCTAACCTGGTCCCAAGCTGTTCAGAGGACTTTATATGATAACAGCAAGACCTTGTACTAATTTTGGAAACTAGCCAATACTAGTGCAGTTGTTTCAACCCCAGTGTAAGTACAACCAGATATCCAACTTAGCAAACTAGTTGTTGCATTCTGAACCAGCTGCAGCTTCCAGACCAAACATATGGGTAGCACCACATAAAGCACATTAGAGTACTTTAAATGTGAGATTACCTATAAGGGCATACCAGTTAGAGCTGGTAACAGGCACTCCTTGGCACAAAAACCACCGACTTCTAATGACAATTATGAAGTCTGGAACACCCCCAATCTATGGGGTGCAACCCTCTCCAGAGCAGGCAAGCTCCTCAATTCCCATAACTGGGAACCACCCATTCACAGAATCTCCATCTTCTCAGGATTCAGTTTCAATTTCTTGGCATTCATCCAGCCAAGTCACTGCATCCAGGCACCAGTTCAGAACATACATGGCCTCTTCAGATTCATATGTCACAGAGCAACAGAGCAGTGTATCATCAGCATACTGATGACAATTCATCACAAATATTTTCCCTCAGTTATTAAATGGGTTGTTAAATAGATGACCTTATAATTACCTTCCCAGATGTGAAATAGAGGGTATCATATGGCATCTCACAGCATAATGACCAAGGAGCTGAGGCACAGTATTCCAATTCTACTTTCTGCAACCATCCACACTGGCAGAAGTCACACTACTACAACACAGTACCTCTAACTGCCAGATGACAAAGACAATTCCTCTATTCTCCCACAATACTGTAGTCAATAGTATTAAAAACTGCTGAGAGATCAAGCAGGATAAAGTATGTCACCTTCCCTATGCCTTTCTCCAACAAGAGGTCATGCATCAGGACAACCAAAGCCAATTCTTTGTCAAAACTAGTACTAAGGCAATTAGCAAACTTACCTCCCCTACTTCCTTCTGAAAGGTCAGAGTCATCTGTGTCCTACCATAACGAAAAGGTCCATCCCTTTCAGATATCTTCTCAAGCCACTTAATTATTAGAGGGGTTGAAACACTGAAAGGCAAATTTCCAATAATATGTATGTCTGGTGGATCTGTATGAAAGAGAAAAGGAAACCTTTAAAAACCCACCAATTTCTGTAATTAGCTAGCATTCATATAAACATACATCATACATTTTTATGTATGAAGTACACAGCCTATGCATGATCCACAGCAGTGTTGTTTGTGTCATACATGCACACAATCATTCCTGTACACAGGATTAATCTTTGCCTAGCTAGTTAAGATGAACAGAATCAAAGAGATGGGTCATTTTCTTACTACTTATATTCCTCCAACATAACAGAGTCAACTGCCCTACACTATTTCATCCCATCCTTATTTCTAACTTTTTATGAATTGCAGTACCAATATACAGTGGTACCTTGGCTCACGAACTTAATCCATTCCAGGACTCTGGTCATGACCCAAATTGGTTGTGAGGCGGGTTAAATTTCCCCATAAGGTTCAATGTAAATAAGGGTAATCCGTTCTGTAACCATTTTTTTTAATCAGAAAAATGTGAAGCAAAGTGACAAAGAAAACAAAGAACGTGGCCATCTCGCTTCCTCACCCTGAGCACAAGCACGGCCATCTCCCCGCCAGCACAACCAAGATTGCACCCGTCATCCCATCATGCTGAGGGGGGGAAAGACAGGTGCGATCGTGGGCGCACTGGGGGAGAAAGAGATGGGTGCAAATGGAGGGTGCTGGGGGATGGAGAGACGGGCACGAATGGAGCGCACACTGGGGGAGGGAGAGATGGGTGCAATCTCGGTCATCTCCCCCCCGCCTCCAGCATGATCGCGGCCATCTCCCCACTTGGGCAGGGTGGGGAGATGCTGTGATCTTCGTTGCCACCCAATGCGGAGTTTGCAACCCACGTCAAAAATGTCATGAAATTTTTGTTCGTGAGCCAATTTGGTCATGAACCAAGATGTTTGTGAAGTGAGGTACCACTGTACTGGGAATATTAGGGTCATTTTTACAAAGTTGCATTGTAAAATTACTAGTGCCTCCCAAAATGTTATTAAATTGATGATTGTTCTTTATTGCTTGGATGTTCTTACCATTTTCTATACTAAAGACATATGGAGGAAATACAGAATTTTGTCTATGTACTTAAATCTTGTATCTGTTTGTAGAAAAATAACTACAACAACTTTTACAAGCATGAATTGTGGTGTGTAGAATAGGCAGCTGGAACATCCATTACATGAACCATCAAAACTATTACACAATACATACTAATCAAAATATGGCATCACTTTAAGCAGATAGATGGGTCGAGCTCACTTTTTGAAAAATGTTTGTCATCTCTGCAAATTTCATCAAGTGGTAAAATGTACTGACATCTCCCAGTTAAGGACCCTCAATTTACAATTTCTGAGGGCTAAGCTACTAAATGCATTATTAACAATCATATCTGTGCCTTTTAGCAAAAATAATAATGAGTAGAGATTTTTACTGGAAGTACAAAGGGCAGGGAGATGATATTTCATCCTTTTCTGTTGAAGTCCTTTGCAATTTCCCTTCTCCTCAGTTGCTTTTCATCCCAGAACAAGTCTCACACAACATTTAGAACTGATTTGAGGAGACATACATGTATGCATAGGTAATAGTCATAGATACTGAAAATAAGCAGACTATTTAGCACTCTATTCTATCAATATGCAGCTAACAAACTGCATTTACAGAGCTTATTTAATAGATATTCTGAATAACTATAGTTCTAGCATACTGACCATCTTCCCAGTTCTTTATAAGGTGCTCTGGAAAAGCATGGCACAACTTATATGTTAAAATATCTCCATGAACAATCCGAACTTTTCCTGGAGCAGCTTCAGAAAGCATCTGAGGTTTTCAAAGGAGGAGAAGGTCATTATTCATTTAACTCATTTGGAAATATATTTTTCCAAACATTTTTCTCAGTTATCTTTATATTTAAAATGCATTATGCTACAATATATTGTATTGTAAGGTTTTCAGACCAGGCCACTTGACATGCCATAAATAAAGCTAAAGAGAACACTCAAGCATGAGAATTATAGAAAAACAAAAGTATAGAGTTAAATAGTTAATCATTACTCACACTCTGTAAAAAAATGAAACAATACTAAGACTTTGAATGCAAAAAGCATTATAAACATAACTCCAACAACAGAAGCCTTTGCTCAAAGGGCTTTTCATAAGCAGAGTAACACCAATTTGATAAAACCCTGTATCACATTTTTGTTTGTTCTAAAAAGTATAAATGAGCAAAGTGAGCCCATCATCTATGTAAATACATTTTCTAGTGTTCCACTGTGTTATTACAATGGCTAGGATCCAGACTTAGTCATAGTTACAGTAGACTCACTGAAAACAATGGATTTCAGTTAGCCCAGAGCTCTGTTTATTCCAATAATTTAAGCTCTGTTTATTCCAATAGATTTACTTTAAACATGTCTAAGTCTGAATCCAATGCAACATGTATGGATACAGATGGATGCTCACAGAGTATTTCATTTCTATATAGCATCCTATACACAATACTTAGTCCAATACATATAAACTATGATGCCCCAGCCAATGTCAAACACTGCAACTGATGTGAAAATATATGCCAAAGCTCTCTAGCTGCCAGAACTGGAGGGGGCACATTATTTTAGTATGATGAGAGCTCCATGCAATCCACTTGGGAAGAGGATCCACAAATGAAGATTCCAAAACTGACCAGACAGAGTAATCTAAGTGGAAAGGATCAATATCTAGTGCAAGTGAACAAAGGCCTAATGTTATATGGAATGGTCAGGGAAGCTAAAGTTACCCTTTCTGATCAAAAGTTGAATCCTTTCCAAGGAAATTTGTGCTGAAGAGGAACTCCACAAGAATTTACAAATTAAAACATCAAAATAAATTTCTGGAGATACTTTACAGATAGAAATAGAGGAATGCCATGTAAAACATACAATTTGAGGCATTACATTCTTTTTAATTGTATTTACCCTACCCTATCTAGAGCTGAGCAGGGCTGTGAAGTGTAAGGCATTCTGGAGGGCTTTCATTCATATGGCTGCCATTCGCAGATGACCCAGTGACACATAACAACAGGCCTATTCCACAGACTTAACTGTGTAGTGCCTGTCAATGTCCCTTGAAATCTCATCAGTCATCTTACTCAAATTTAACTTAATCATTTGTTATGCATCTCTTGCGACAAGTATTCACAGATAAGTTATAATAATAAACCCAACACAAAGTCTAAGTTGTCAACTAAATAACACACTATGGGACATATTAGCTCCAACTCTCACGAGTAACTGACTTTGACCAGTCAGTCAAATAACCATATAAATGTCCAAAATCATGAATTGTTGCATCAAACCCAGAACATATAAATGGCATTTTGGGGAGTGGGGGGGGGGATGAGCCAATGACAATCACTCCAAGGTGCTGCTGGGGCACCTGGTGAATGGCTGGCAATGGCCCAAGCACACTCAGCAAGACCAGCAAGGTGGTTTCATTGCTCTTGCCAAGCATTGCTCTTGCCAAGCTTCCTGCAACCCACAATAGGATCACTGTGCTACACGCCCCCCCACAAAAAAAAACAAAAAAAAACCCTACGCTCATGGGCCTAACAACCCCTAGAACAAGCCAGGGGGTTTTAGGGTGACTTGCAGCCCAAAACCTAGCCACCCAAGAGATGTGGTCTGAATTTGCACAAAAGATTATTACTCATGATGGGTTACTGTGTCATGTAAAACTGGTCTAACAGTGAAGTCCCAATAATATTTAGTAAAAATTGAGCCTGTTCAACCTAAGGAGACTAAACTGAGAGAAAACAGAAATAGGACTGTGATGTAACAGGATGATTGAAAAAGGATGCTTATAGCACAGTCATAAATAGGATATACTACTTTCAATATTGATTAACTTGCCACATTATTGCTATCAAAAGAAACCCTTCAGTAAGTATTTGGATACCTGGAGCCCTGGAATAAAACGAGGGTCTTTCTCAATTAATAAAAGTTCTGCAACACCAGCATTCAGAATGGATCTTGTGATTCCTCCTGGCCCAGGGCCCACCTCACACACATAGGCATCTTTCAGATTACCAGCACTTCTTACTATCTTATCTGCAAGAAAGGACATACAAGACATGGCTTTTCTTTTTTCAAAGCAATTCATTAACAAAAGTCATTTTAGAGCAAAGATTTCATTTCAGCATGATAATCAACAGCCACTCATCTAATAAAATTTGTCTAAGATGCACTCTATAGAAAAAGTAGCTAAAATATATTATAATTTCCTTTTATTTGATCTCAAGTATGTAACTTTTAATTATAAATATGTTTATATATACACAGAAAAACAAAGATAGAAAGTCAGAATTCTCTCTTTCATATGAAGCAATGCTGACTAAGGACTATGCCTTTTAAAATTATAATTGCAAATTTCTCATATTAACTATGTCTTTGTCTTTCTAATTTGCACTAGGCAAAATTAAGTAGATTGCTAGGACTGCAATAACCTTCAGTTATTAGGTGCTTTAAACTGTAATAAATAAATGGCATAGCTTTGTCACACACAGAGTACATAATTTTGTTTAAAATAATTAGATCCCATGTCTGCCCTGTGTAACTTACAAATGTGGCTTACAGTCAACAATTTAATGCAGCAACAACAAAACAGAGCGAGAGCCTCAGCATATGGTCATGTACTTTCAAAGTATCCAGTTTGGATATATGATTTGACAATCCTCAAGTGTTATAAAACAGTTTTCTCATTATCTCATTAGTTTTGTTATTCTCATGTTTATACATTCTGCTTAATGTATACTTCATTCATTTAGGGTATGGCACTTTGTGAGAAAGTAGCTTGAAAACAACTAACAAATATTTTAAATAAATAAATTGCTATAATACACACATTTAACTATTTATAATGTAATAAATAAACACAGCAGAACTAAAATTGGTTGGCAAGCCACAAAATAATTCATAAATAAAATTGACAGATGACATAGAGAGCTAACCTGCAAGTCTCTGATCCAAAAGGAAGTTTTGGGACAGCTGCTTTTCAGCTCTCAGCTTAAACAGTTTAACTATTTCTCCAATTGTTGGAAGAGGTGGTAGACGGAAAGTAGCCACTTGTCTTGAAATGGCCATTGATCAAGAAAGTTATTCTTTCCACTAACAAGACATCAAAATAGGAAAAAAATTAGCATGGATTGCACATTCAATTACCATAACAATGTGAAGGACAGAGTTAAGATTCTACATACAACTGTGCATACACAAATTCATTTTTTCTTAAGCTAGCAATATTGAACACCCTTAATACATTTTTCCCTTTGTAAAATGTATTTCATTAGCCCCATTAAAAACTATGTAAAACAAAATCTAATATCTGTCTTGATGATATTGTCCCAGTATGAATGTAAAGATTTATGTGTGTTTAAGAAATGGGCTAGAGCAGTGATTTTCAACCACCAGTCTGCAGACCAGCGCCAGTCCACAGGAGATTTCCTGCCAGTCTGCAAGCATCCCGCTCGCCACTGACCAGCATGGATGCTGGCCATACTCCACTACTTCTTCCTTGGTTGGCATTGCTTGGGGTGTGCTGGTGTCATGGGGAGTAGGGGGCTGGGGAGGGGAGAGACTGCTTGATAGGAGCCGGCTAGAAGCCATGCTGAGCCAATTTCAGTATTTTGTTCTTTTGCTGACATTTTTTGTTGCTCGGTTTCTGGTGGTTCTGGAGAATTTTTTTTCTTTTTGGTATTGTGTTTGGAAACTAATACACAGAATACTGTATTATATGTATGGTGCTTTTTGTTTCTGCCTCAGCAGTCCCCGAGGTAGTTTTCCTGTTTTTGCCAGCCCCCAGCTGTGGAAAGCTTGAAAACCACTAGGCTAGAGACTGAGAAACACCACATTCTCAGGGGCCATTCTTCAGAGTGAGTGACTGTGGGCAATGTAACCACAGCAATTGCCTGCAACGTTGAAAGTAGCTTTGCTGAGTACCTGGAAAACTATGTCCACCCACTTTCTTGCCGAGACAAAAGCACTGGACAGAGCTCTAAGAAGTATGCTTCCAAGGCCTAGATTGGAGGAGTCTAATTTGCAGGGGACAATGACTCAAGTGACAGCGGGGTTCCTCGACCACTGGAGCTTTTATTTTGAACAATGTAGGAACTATCCATGGTGCTCTCGTAGTTAGTGAACGTATTTTGGGCATGGAGATCAACCACGTGAATGGAGATCAACCACGTGTATAAAGCTAAAATGAAGATGGAGCGGATGAGGAATCCCGCTAACATAGCCGTCATCAGCCTCTCCAGTTTATTAGTTTGCACTGGGAAGGCTTTTGGCGGGACTCTCCTGAACGCCTGCCCACTGCCTTGCACTGAGCAAAAATCCCTCAGTGCAAAGCTTCGGACCGAGAAGCGAAGTCTAACTAGCTCAACGGTGACAGCCAGGACACCATGCAGAGATCGTAACAGTCGAATCCAGGATTGCCATCTTCTCAGTCGAAGACGCGCCTGACCCGTTTCCATGCCTTTAACAGTTACAGTTGAGGTGAAAACTGAGGCAGCAATCCCACGCCCACCCTGGTGCACCGAGACGAGGTTGAGGCCGAACAGAAGCAGCGAACAGAAGTCGCTGGAACAGCCGCCGCCCGCTCCGAAAGGGGCAGAGGGAAGCCGCGCGAGCAGCCCATCCGCGCTCCACGCTTACCATTAAGGAGTTGAGGAAAGCGGCAAGATAAAAAACCAGGTTGAGGAGGACGAGCATCCAACACACTGTTAATCCTTGTTCTAAAATTAGCATTTAACGGTTCAATAGCGTTAATTTTCCTTTCATGTTCATCCCTTTGGCACAATAAGTACGCCGGTTGCCCCGGAGGCGGACGAACGCTAAGCGGAAATATACTTGGTTCCGCACCATAGATAGCAGGAACGACGCTCTACGCCCTCCTCTTGTTGCCTCCTCTCCCCAGGAGGAGCCCCACCCACCCGCAGGAGTCCTCGCGCGTTGTCAAAAGAAGGCAACGCCCCTTTGGGAGCGTGTCGCGTGAGCGTAGTTCACCGGTTAACCCTTCATTGGCTCTTCATAACCCTTCTTCGCACCATTGCTTTCTCTTCCTCCCCGCCGCGCTTTCCGGGCAAGTCGTCCCATTCGCGCTTTTAGCACGAGAAGGATTCCGAGCTCTGTCTGGGGTATTCGCATCTCGTCCATCTTCGGCGGACGCTGCGCCTTAAAGAAGGGAATAAGGCAGAGGGAGAAAGACGATTCGGAGAAATGCAGGACTGTGGCACAGGACCAGACTTAGCCTTTTCGCTGGAACATGCTCAAGGCCTTTATGCCTTTGAGCATGTGCAGAATGCTTTTCCCAGATCAACAGATAACCGCCCTTATAGCTTCCCCCCATCCTTTGCTCTCCTTCCCATCGGAAAACACGTCTAGACTAGAGAGAAGGCATGCGGTTTTAAGCCCCACTATCTCTTACTGCAGTAAGTAAGCTTGAGACACAAGTAAGTTTGAGACACAGTTCATCCCAGTTCTCCATGGCAAGATTTGTTTTTTCTTTTTGGTGGTAGGCCGACACCTATAGAACTCACTTTCCCAGGAAATATTAGAGGGCCTGTCCTAGGAAATTTAAAAGAAAAAGTAATAGTCCTCACTTGGCCATGGAGCCAACTGGGTGGTTTTGAGCCACTCACAGCCCAAGGTACTTCACGGACTTAATGTTGTGAGGATAAGATTAGGAGCAGCAGGAGGAGAACTATGTAAGGTGCTCTGCGTTTGTTGTAAGAAATAAGCTAGATATAAATCAAATAAATGAACAATAGTAAAGCATTTTGTAGGCTTGCTTAGATGAGAGTATTGCATGATTATTTTTGTTTCTATGAAATTTTGTACAGTGCCATGATAGCCCAGTTTTAAGGCAGTTTAGAGATAATTAAATGAATTAATAAACAATTAAAGTAAAGACTTCATCTACAAACCCCGGACATGCCCAGACTGCCATTCTCTCTTGCTAGCTCACTATGTAGTAACTGTGATAAACACTACCTGGTATTAGAAGATGAGTTTCTACTCTGCTATGGTATATATGCAGGGTACCTTCCCATGGAAAGCTACTTTTTAGTTGAAGTTAGACCTTCCCAATCCTGAGAACCCTCTTCTTTTCTGATTACAAGGCAACCAATCATTTCTAGGATATGCAGAGAGGGTGAGCACTGCTTGAAGCTAAGGCAGCTCTAACCAGGTATGCAGGTGTCACGAGGCCATAGGTTTCATGCTCAAAGGTACTTGGGCTAGTTATCCTTTAGTTTGAGGGTCTCCCTGATGTGTTCTAGCAGTAGAAGGAATGAATGTGCACTGATGAGTGGAGAGAAACATGGAGGAAGCTGAATACCTCTTAAAGAGGGCTCAGAGAACAGGGGTCAGTGACTGAGCAGGCTTGTGTGCAGCCAGGCAGTCCTTCAGAAAACCTGGACCCAACCGACCATATGTGAAATTATGTTAATGTTTGCTTGTTTTTGTTTTTATTATTTTTATATCCCATTTTTTTTCTTCCAAGGAACTCAATTGTTTAGGCAGGAAAAAGTACTTGGGGAATGCTGAACTTCTTTCTGTCTAACCATGACCAGGAATGTTCCCTAAGTCCAGCAAGCACAGAACTGATGTAGTTTGTTATAAACTCTTGACCTCCACCTTGTTCTTGCCATTTTTTTCTTGACTGATTCAAGTCCTTGAACCATCATTAAAGGAAGCCCCTCAGGAGTGCATAACTGTGAGCCAAACTGGATATAAACAGAGCATGTGTTAAAAGCATTTTTTTTTTTTTTTGCACTGCCCAATAGCCAAGGCTTTCTGGTTTAAAAAAAAGGTTAACAACATTTTAAAAAATTAAAACACACACAACAACAAAACCACAATAGCAATTTCAATTGAATCAGTGTAGAAGCATATCAGTAGTACAGAATAAAATGCAATATTAAAAACATTGTTAAACAGTTAAACTCTTAAAATGCTGGGAGAATAAAAAGGTCTTCACCTGGTACTGAAAAACACCAGAACATGGACCATTTGATCAACAGGGTCCATCTTAGGCTTTTTCAGGAGTGGCTTAATTACGGCCTCTTTTAGAGAGCCTGGCACCACTCCTCTGAAGGAGGCATTTACAACTTCCTAGACCCAGCTAGAAATCCCTGCTGTAATGAACCATGAGGGGCAAGGGTCAGGCACACAAGTGGTGGGCCGGATTCGACCAAGCACCTTGTCCACCAGGCCTCAGTAATTAAAGCTTATCCAGTAGAACTGGACCAGATGGTACTCTGGATACTGCTGCTGGTGGAACTGCATTAATTGTGGAGTCCATTTCATGATGAATTTGGGCCAGTTTATCTTCGAAGTGCTATACATCACAGCATGCTACCAGGTGCTCCACCATTTCTTTCTCTGGCCCCAAATATGATAAGCTATGAACTACTCAGAAAGCAAGCTTTCTTGCTCCACTAATTTCCTTGGCACTGCTCATTAGTCATGCCTGCATCCTCGTAGATGCAATAGTACTTATTCCTGATGTATAATCTATATTCTAGCTAAGCTTCTGTTATTGTGGTCTTGAATAACCCTAGGCTTTGGGGGGCAATTTGACCCTCTTTTCCTTTAAATTCTTTTTGACCACTCTTCTCATTTTCCCGCAGTTTCTTCTCGACGTCAAATGGGCCAATGTGTGATACATTCGTGCTGAATTTGATAATGCAGTGGTCACTGTCTCTGATCAATTGAGCAGCACTTTTGTCTTTCTTGTGGTCCTGGGCGCTGTTTAGGCCACTTCCATGCCTAAGTCCAGGGCCACTTCCCCTCTGTTTTATTTCGTGACCAGAGCAGAAGATACTGGACCTAACTGTAATGTCACAAGCTAGCATTCCAGCTGCCATCAACACATCATAGCTAAAAATACACATACCTTCTTTGAGCATTTTCTAGAGATGATTGTCAGAGCGGCCTGCTGGCAAGGGAAGTGATTTTGCAGGCCATTTGTGCAAGTGCTCAGCACAGCAGAGAAAAATGCTCCCTTCTCTGCGGTGCTGTATAACTAATGATGGGTTTCAAGGATCTCCTTAGGATTTTGCCTTTTTTCATTTCCTCCCTTGCTGTTCACTGTGAGTGTAAATTACGGCAAGATACAATTTTGTGCTAGCAAAATGTTTAATAAAAGTATATAGAAACCATCTGGAGGTTCAAACAATAGAAAACTTTATGGCAGCAGTTTTCTTACCTAACCCTGCCTCCTGTTTCCTTTGTGCAAGTGGCTTTTGGATCATCAGTAGAAAATCACAATTTATTTGAATAGTGATCTCAGTTTGTTTGCTTATTATTACATTTATATCCTGCCCTTTTTCTTCCTCCAAAAATTCCAGGGTGGCTTTTATAGCCTTCTCCGTTCCATTCTATCCTCATAAGAAAACAGTGAGCACTCTCAGGTTAGGCTGAGAGTCAGTGATTGTCCAGGAGCTTTGTGGACAAGTGAACCCAGATCTCCTGAGCTGATCAAGTCCGATAGTGCAGCCCACTGACTCTCCAATTGCAGGTCCTTGTATAGGTGAAATGGCACCTCCTGTGTGCAGGGGAGAGGTTTCAGTGGAAGGGAACAGGTGCAATTACAAATAGATCACAGATCTTTGGGTTGGGGATCATCCCACAACAAGCCGAAGAAGGCCAAGGATGCTTAGTGGGCATGGCATACTGACTGACAGTTAGGGGTTGGGGAAGCAGAAAACTGGGGGAGGGCAAGGAAATAGGGCACCTGCAATCTGGAGCAGCAGCACTTTACATTGCAACATTTTGTGACAGATCCAGTGTGGTGTTCCCTCTATTTCTGATGTTCAGATTTATGGAGTCAAACAGCACCAAACACACGCAAGAGGATGGTATCAGCAAGCCTGAGGGGAGGGACCAGTTGTTCGAAGTACAAATATCTGTATGTGTGTGCATGGGTGTAGCACAATGGAGCTGAAATGTGCTCAGTAACCATCATGCTGACAGACTATTGCGATGGGATGCAAACCTAGGAGCGGAGTGGCTGGAATCCTGAGTAGCAGCACTGCACATTCCACGGCCCATTATCTCCGTCAAATAAACAAGTCAGTCCTTTCAGTGTAAAATGTGAGACAAGCATCAGCTTGAAAGACTTAAGAACCGGAATTGTACTGATTTAAGTGTGTCTTAAAACTAGTGGATGTTCCACAGCTTTACACACCTTTTTACATAAGGTTGTTCTTCACCATATTTACTTTCAGCTTTATCAAAGAACTGAGATCTGAGTTTTACACGAACCTGACCTAGGGCAGTCATGGGCTCTCCCACGCTGGAGGCATTCAAGAGGCAGCTGCTCAGCCATCGGCCAGGGGTGCTTTGAGTCCTGCATGGAACAAGGGGCTGAACTCAATGGCCTTATAAGTCCCACCAATTCTACTATTCTATGGCTATGTATTTTATGACTATATATAATGCTAATCATAACTATATTGACAATAATGTTATAATAATTGCTCTCACCACTTCATAAATTAAGGACAATTCGTTCCTCTAATATGTCTTTAGACAGGAAAAAAGACTTGCTGGGGAATGGTGGGTTTAGTAGGACATCTTTTCTGTCTAAACATGCATTGGATTGCATCTTAATGGGTGGTACTAGAAACTAATTGCTTTTCTGTGATGTCCATGTGGCATAATCAGTGTCATATAGATGATTCTGTGGCATTTTCAGTTTGTTTATTTCACTTATCACATAACATGAAACATTTTAAATGCACACAAAAACATTACAGGAATGAAAAATTTAATCATGCTCACTTCTGCAGCCAGTTTTATCCATTTATTTTTATTTAAGAGGATGAATAGC